CAACACTGTTGGTGTATCCTCTTATACGCTACATATTTACACTACAACACTGTTGGTATATCCTTTTATTCTCTACATATTTACACTACAACACGGTTGGTATATCCTTTTATTCTCTAAATGTTTACACTACAACACTGTTGGTATATCCTCTTATACTCTACATATTTACACTACAACACAGTTGGTGTATCCTTTTATTCTCTACATATTTACACTACAACACAGTTGGTGTATCCTCTTATACGCTACATATTTACACTACAACACTGTTGGTATATCCTTTTATTCTCTAAATAGTTACACTACAACACTGTTGGTGTAACCTCTTATTCTCTACATATTTACACTACAACACTGTTGGTGTATCCTTTTATTCTCTACATATTTACACTACAACACTGTTGGTATATCCTCTTATACTCTACATATTTACACTACAACACTGTTGGTATATCCTCTTATACTCTACATATTTACACTACAACACTGTTGGTGTAACCTCTTACGAGAGGGCCTCTCTGTCTTTCAGTTCCTTTATTAACCCATAATAATTGGTTTACCCTAAAATATAAAAGGATAATGGAATATATTCGTACATAATTTTCCAGTTAAGAACTTTCTTCAAATACAACCTATAAGAAAACATTCTTGTCAACCTAAGGTTAGAGCAAGTCTCGTGGAGCTACTTTACCCTTACTGTGACAGTCCTGGAACAAGGAAGTTAGGCTTATAATATTCTTCAGGCGGAAGTTTGTTTGTTTTTAATTTCGCGCAAAGCTACACGAGGGCTATCTGCGCTAGCCGTCCCTAATTTAGCAGTGTAAGACTAGAGGGAAGGCAGCTAGTCATCACCACCCACCGCCAACTCTTGGGCTACCCTTTTACCAACGAATAGTGGGATTGACCGTCATATTATAATGCCCCCACGGCTGAAAGGGCGAGCATGTTTGGTGAGATGGGGATGCAAACCCGCGACCCGCAGATTGCGAGTCGAGCGTCCTAACCACTTGGCCATGCCGGGCCTTCAGGCGGAAGTGAAATATTTGATCTTCATATTGCTAATGGTGGGCGGAAGTTGTGATCAATAAATGAAGCTACTGAAACATCATCTGTTCTAGACAGTGGTCAATGATCCTGCACTGGACAGTGGTCATTGATCCTGCATACTGACGTGCATTTTATTCACACTACTGAAACATCATCTGTTCTGGACAGTGGTCACTGATCCTGCACTGGACAGTGGTCATTGATCCTGCATACTGACGTGCATTTTATTCACACCACTAAAACATCATCTGTTCCGGACAGTGGTCATTGATCCTGCATACTGATGTGTATTTTATTCACACCACTGAAACATCAAATGTTCTGGACAGTGGTCATTGATCCTACACAGTGACATACATTTTATTTTATTCACACCACTGAAACATCAAATGTTCTGGACAGTGGTCATTGATCCTACACAGTGACATGCATTTTATTTTATTCACACCACTGAAACATCAATTATTCTGGACAGTGGTCATTGATCCTACACAGTGACGTGTATTTCATTCACACCACTGAAACATCAAATGTTCTGGACAGTGGTCATTGATCCTACATAATGACGTGTATTTCATTCACACCACTGAAACATCAATTATTCTGGACAGTGGTCATTGATCCTACATAGTGACATGTATTTTATTCACAAAACCAATCTCATTTTGTTGGAAAATAAAGAAAGAGGAGACATTTTGTTTGTTTGTTTGTTGTTAAGCCCAAAACTACACAGTGGGCTATCTGTGTAGTGCCCACCATAGGTATAGAAACCTGCCTTTTAGCGTTATAAGCCTCCAAATTTACCGCTGAGCCACTTGGGGGAGGATGGAAGGGGAGAAATAAAAACTAGTTTGCAAGAAAGAACATTTAAGTAATCCTTCTAATATGATTTAGAGAACCTATATCCAAACCTTCCTAAACAAAACTTGTGGTTCTATAGCGAAATGTAGTTCCCCTAGAACAATGGTGTTTCAAGAAATAATTATTTTAATATGAGGTTTCCTTTACAACCACCCTGTAGACAGAGAGCAGAGAGAGAGAGAGGCAAAGAGGACAAGCTTTACGAAAACTTCTTCTTGCCAAGAACACTAGTTTAATGTTTTCCCCTTCTTCTTTTGTTAGATGATGATGTGTTTGATGATATCCTGGGTGTAAGATGTGACTAGTGAATGAGAAAATATGATGAAGATATTACTTCAGACTGAGAGTGGCCACAGCAATATTAACTGCGAATAAGGGAGATTCCACAGTCATCAGCAGTCGACCAGTAAATACGAAAGATTACAATAGAAGCCCAAAACATTGTATACTTCATGTATAATTCGAGGCTATTGGCCGAAAGACCCAATAATCATTAGTTACTGCTTCTGTCACGTGAAGCCTAATTGTGTAACGCTCTGATTAACCGGGACAAACTTTCCGTGGAAGGTTAGGCCTCTTTAAACTAGATTATTACGTGTTTTTGACTTTGATCAAACAGTAGTCGACACGTGAATTGAGCGAGCTTTGACGATTAGAAAATTTCGCACCAATTAATTGCGGACGTGGATAGTATAAAACTTAGTTAAACCAGGTCTAAAGTGTGTAAAACTGCTCGTAAAAACGTTATACGACCTCTACAGATCAGTCATGTTATGAAGGAAAGGCTTAGCTTGCAACGGAAAGCCCAGGAGGACTGGATGGGTAGACAAGGTAGCAATAAATCCACAGCTGTCTGCGACGCTGCTTCTTAGAAGTATGACATTCTCTCCTCCGCCTGCCGAGGAATAGGCCTAGCGGCACTATACGTATACGGATGATATATTTATCAGGACTGTCTATGTCTTAAATAACGATATAAGACAAACGTAGCTTTCCACTGCTGCGTCATACTTACAACCCCATTACTTTACAGAGTGTCACACAATTGTTGATTATATCAAAGCCACTGCCGCCTTCCTTAATTTAGAACCAATGATCAGAGAGAAGGCAGCCACTCTTTAACACCCACTTACCGCGCTCACTCTTATAACGCACCCACAGCTTAAAGTCTGGGGGATATTTTGTGGTATTGCACGGGATACCTAGCTCCAAACTACCACAAGGACAAACAAAGGAAGTACTGCTGGATATGCCGCACGCGGACGGTGCAATCCTTTCTGGTACTTGGAACCGGTGGTAGATAAACTTCGAGACAGGACGTATCGTGGTCACATATTATTTTTTGAAAAGGTTTTTAACAAACATACACTTAACAGTTTCTTGATTTAACATTTGACAGTACGAGTTCCGGATTAAGACAAATCAAAAACACCGTCTCCATATTAACAGATAGACGAGTGTACGGATGAACAGACAGATAGATAGATGAATGAGTTAAAATATCTGATAAAGATATAAAAAAGATCACCTTCAAGATCGTCTGGGGGTGTAATAGTAAGAAAACAGCCACTTGCCGGTCAATGGGATTTCACGAAACAACAACAAAACAAGAGGGAATCCTCAATAGCCGCGTCTGTAATCGGTCAAGAGATGAAGCTATGAGCTAAAAGTTTGTACTTGAAAGAAGAATAACTCAGAGCCATTCTAAGAGCAGCTGTACCACGACTAAAAAAAGATACACGTGTAAAACGTAATGGTTTTTCGAGATCCAGACAGTTAAGTGAGACTTTGGCTTGTTTTGAGTTTTGCGCAAAGCTACACGAGGGCGATCTGCGCTAGTCGTCCCTAATTTAGCAGTGAAAGACTAGAGAGAAGACAGCTAGACATCACCACCCACCGCCAACTCTTGGGGCTACTCTTTTACCAACGAATAGTGGTATTGGCCGTCACATTATAACGCCCCCACGGCTGAAAGGGCGAGCATGTTTGGTGGGACAGGGATTCGAACCCGCGACCCGCAGATTGCGAGTCTCCCTAACCACCTGGCCATGTTAAGCGAACCATCCAGCTGTTTCGTGGTATTGAAAAGGTTGAGAAACGATCCATAAGGCAACGTTAACATCTGAAACGTAAAATAACAGTGGCAAACTGGAAATAACCAAGTAGAGCTAAGTGTGAGAAATGGTGGAGTGACGTCATGGCTGATAACCATGAGAACCAGGAAGTGTTTATATTTTGGTGGTCTGCCGTGACGTCACCCACCTTTTCCTCACACTTACTTCTTTCATTTCCAGTTTGTCCTTGATGAAGAAAGGGTCACCTTTCGAATGCGCTCGGTTATACGGTTTGGTATTTTTGTCTTAAATTGATTTTTTGAACCTACCAGTTTCCATGACGTCACGATCGCAGTACAACGGGTACGATATTCCTTCCCAATAACAGCTTCCAATCAGAACAAATGTTCGTGTTGAACAATAATAGTTTGGACCCATCAAGGTTATATCTTCTTTAAGTTATGATATGATAAGCTGATACGAGCTCTACGTCTCAAAAACCCGCGTTTTTCTGATTTAAAAGTTTATCACGTTTTTCTTTGTTTGTTTGTCTGTTAAATTTTCAAAACGACCAGTAGCGAGAGTTTGCGTTTTTATCTCATGTTAGTTTTCACTGTGTGTGTGTGTGTGGTCTCCCCGATGGGCACGGTAAGTTTGCAGTCTTATAACGCCCAAATCCGGGGTCCGATTCATTGCGGTGGACACAGCAGATAGCCCAATGTGTCTTTGCTCTAATACAAACAAATAAACAGATTCAGCACGAGCGCGAAGTATGAATAAATTTAGGTATGTTTCAATGTTTGCATATTTTCAGGAGAAGGTTGAGTTGCACCAATCTATTAGAATGAAATAAAATTAGATGGATATGCACAGAAAGGGACTCTAACCTGGAAAGGAAAATGTCATGTACTAATAGATTTATTACACCGTTAAAAATAAAAACTGTCTGTCTTTAATTGGTGCGAATACACTTTTATCGAGTGGTCGAGTCATCAGGCTCCTCTTATCTCATTCTTGGATGTTTCGCATCTTGAACTAAGGGGAGCGTAACGCTAAAATCCGGGGTTCGGTTCCCAGCTGTAGACATAGTAGATTGCTCTAAAACAAACAAAAATTAAGTACTTAATCAGAAGACAAGCACGAGAGAACGAAATGTCAACTGAATTACAGAGATCAAGAAACTTTGGAGAATATGAAGCAGTGGGTGGAAAAATCAACAATTCGTGTCTTACACGCACACACAATCCTCATTCCTGTGGATGGAAACAAAAGTCTTTCACAAAATAAACACGGAAGAATCTATTTTCAATCCTGAAGAGGTTTTCCAGAAGCAGCGAAGGATATTAGAGATGATGGAACAACAAAACAATTAGATATTCTTTTGAAGTCTCAGTTGTGAGAACACAATGACCAGCAATGTCTCATTTAGGGTTCAATGAACCATAAGCAAACCTTATGAGAACGAAGTTCTACGTTATTTGTTAGCATATAGATTAAAACTGTTATTTTCTTATCATTATACTGATTACGCTGCATCTGCCGTACTCCGCCTATACTTCTTCTATTATGATGCAATTGTACTGCTTCTTCCAAACTGAGACAACGGTACTGTCATAATTCTGGTATAAGGTGTTACGTTATCCTCAATCAATATATGAAGCCTAACCCTAAACGAAACCATTGTAAACATCATCTTTTCTGGATAGTGTTCATTGATTCTTGCAAAGTTTCGCATCAATATCGTATTGTTGGAAGAGACATAAGGGAACGTGTGTGAAGTTTGTAGTGTGATATGGTGGTTTGGAAACACCCTGTACAATAGCTACACTTTCCTGGTTAAAAACTAAAATTCTAAACGTGCTAGAAATTGTTTGAGAAATATAACAACTTCTACTATGGGGGTTTCCTTCATAATAACTGATATAATAACTTCCACTGTGATTTCCTTCATAATAATTTTAAACTCTCAATTTCGAAACTATAATTAGGTCGTTTAAAAGACACATTAACAAACAATGCTGTTAAGCTCTGAGTGTGTAGCTTACAAACAATAGTGTTAAAGCTCTGAGTGTGTCGCTTACAAATACTACTACTAAAGCTCTGAGTGTGTCGCTTACAAACAATACTGTTAAAGCTCTGAGTGTGTAGCTTACAAACAATACTGTTAAAGCTCTGAGTGTGTAGCTTACAAACAATACTGTTAAAGCTCTGGGTATGTAGCTTACAAACAATACTGTTAAAGGTCTGAGTGTGTAGCTTATAAACAATACTGTTAAAGCTCTGAGTGTGTCGCTTACAAACAATACTGTTAAAGCTATGAGTGTGTCACTTACAAACAATACTGTTAAAGCTATAAGTCTGTAACTTACAAACAACACTGTTAAAGATTTGAGTGTGTCGCTTACAAACAATACTGTTAAAGATCTGAGTGGGTCACTTACAAACAATACTGTTAAAGGTCTGAGTGCGTAGCTTACAAACAATACTGTTAAAGATCTGAGTGTGTCGCTTACAAACAATACTGTTAAAGCTCTGGGTATGTAGCTTACAAACAATACTGTTAAAGGTCTGAGTGTGTAGCTTACAAACAATACTGCTAAAGCTCTGAGTGTGTCGCTTACAAACAATACTGTTAAAGCTATGAGTGTGTCACTTACAAACAATACTGTTAAAGGTCTGAGTGCGTAGCTTACAAACAATACTGTTAAAGATCTGAGTGTGTAGCTTACAAACAATACTTTTACAGCTCTGGGTATGTAGCTTACAAACAATACTGTTAAATGTCTGAGTGAGTAGCTTACAAACAATACTGTTAAAGCTCTGGGTATGTAGCTTACAAACAATACTGTTAAAGCTATGAGTGTGTAGCTTACAAACAATACTGTTAAAGGTCTGAGTGTGTAGCTTACAAACAATACTGTTAAAGCTCTGAGTGTGTAGCTTACAAACAATACTGTTAAAGCTTTGAGTGTGTAGAACAGTATTGTTTGTAAGAAAGATCTGAGTGTGTAGCTTACAAACAATACTGTTGAAGTGTGGATGGTGATATACGATAAACAACTTCAAATCTACTTGTATAAAATGACGCTGTTGTTATTTTAAGAATTTTTGTTTTCATGCGTCAACATATCAGTCTTTCTGGTTCCATTAGGTTATCCGAGAGGTGCTCATAATTCCATTCTGGTAACCCAGATCGATACGATAATAATAATGATGATGAATTCAGTTATCTTCAGTTTAATACAGTACAATTTAAACCTTATATTAGTAACGTGCCTTTACACTTTGTCCTTTTAATCATTAATACAGTTATCTAGTTCAGTTTAAACTTTACTCAGTTTTTCTTGTTTTACCTATTCAATTATCAAAGTAGCTGTGTCTAGTACACTTCAAAAACAATGCTCACAAGTCTTGCAATAGAGCAAACGTTTTTGTCACTTTGGCTCAGTTTAAGTCACAATTAATAACGAAACAGAGCTGTCAGAGCATTTTGTGTAGAGTGTCAGAAACAATGGAAATATATTAGTGTAGAAGTACGGAGACCTTCTTTCATACGTATAACAGAATGTAATAATTTGACGAAAACACTGCAGTCCACTCCTACAAACCAGTGTTGATAATAATAGTTATTTAAAGTTTACATCTGACTGGAACCCGTAGAAACATTAGTCACCAACAAACAAAACATGAGCACGGACAACAAACCGAGCTGCAGTGTCGGCGGATAATGCCAACCGGTCACACTTCATGCGCAGAAGGTAAGCCTCGAACAGCCAATAGCAGCAAACGACACTGTTGCTAAGGCAGTAAGTCCGTTGTTGATAGCTCCTAGTTTTGCAGTGGAGCGAAAATGATTTTGTTCGACTGTATAATGAGAAATTTATAGTTCCTGAGAAAAAGATACGCCGATGGATGGACAGAAAGTGCAGATAAACGGACAAATATATTTTATATTGACAAATAAAATCCCGTTGATATAACAGATGTATATGGATACAAGTGTTAACTGTAAAAAAAAAAAAACAAGCATAAGGAAGAGTTTATATAAATATACAGGCATGGGAAACAGTCAAATAAGACAGGAAACATTAAAAACATAAGTAAAATGACACAGAAAGCTTTTTCTAAGCCACAAAAACAGTCAAACAAGACAGGAAAAACGCAAGAAACATTGAAATTTGACAAAATAAAGGTCAGAAAAAACATAAGAACAATTACATAAAGCCCAGAAAAAACACAAGAAATAGTCACTCAAAATAGTCGTTCTGACAGACTAGAAATAGTCAAATTAGATGAAATAGCGCTCATACAGAAACGAGGAATCCACGAACGAAACAAAAACGCAGCAAAGAGTACTATACCAAAAGACAGACAGACGTTCAGACACAGGAAACAATATTATAACAAGACAGACACAGAGGGAAGGAACGGTCCAAAATGACAGAAGTACAACAACCGTATGAAAGAGGAAACAGCGTATAACAGACTCATGAAACTAGAAAACAAAACAGATCCGACAAACAACATAACTGGTATCAAAAATCCGGGTTTTAACGTTATAAGTCATAAGACTTACCGCCGAGCCACAAGGCATTCAGGTGAAACAATAAAACAAGGTGGGGACGTAAAACAATAAAACAAGGTAGGACGTAAACCAATAAAACAAGGTATGGACGTAAAACAATATAACAAGGTAGGGACGTAAAACAACATAACAAGGTAGGGACGTAAAACAATATATAATAAACAAGTAGATGAACCAATATAACAAGGTAGGGACGTAAAACAATAAAACAAGGTGGGTACGTAAAACAATAAAACAAGGTAGGACGTAAACCAATAAAACAAGGTAGGACGTAAACCAATAAAACAAGGTATGGACGTAAAACAATATAACAAGGCGGGGACGTAAAACAACATAACAAGGCACGGACGTAAAACAATATAACAAGGTAGGGACGTAAAACAATAAAACAAGGTTGGTACGTAAAACAATAAAACAAGGTAGGACGTAATCCAATAAAACAAAGTATGGACGTAAAACAATGTAACAAGGCGGGGACGTAAAACAACATAACAAGGTAGGGACGTAAAACAATAAAACAAGGTTGGTACGTAAAACAATAAAACAAGGTAGGACGTAATCCAATAAAACAAAGTATGGACGTAAAACAATGTAACAAGGCGGGGACGGAAAACAACATAAAAAGGGAGGGACGTAAAACAATAAAACAAGGTTGGTACGTAAAACAATAAAACAAGGTAGGACGTAATCCAATAAAACAAAGTATGGACGTAAAACAATGTAACAAGGCGGGGACGTAAAACAACATAACAAGGTAGGGACGTAAAACAATAAAACAAGGTTGGTACGTAAAACAATAAAACAAGGTAGGACGTAATCCAATAAAA